GCGTCGCTCAATGCAAGTATTGGCAATGACTCTTCTGAAGTCCGAAGTTCGCGTGCCGGAGCCAAGTCTCCCGATTGCCACTGCTTTATCACAGCGCCAATGCAGCCGCCATGCTGGAGGCACCTGCGAGGTAGCATTGAATGTCAGCAGAATGTATATAACAAGAATAAGCAGGGTCTGCATGCACTTCGGTCAAGCTGGCACACTTCTTTTTTGACCCCGCAGCTGGAACTGCAAGGAGAAGATGCATGCCACAATCTACATGCAATAGTTTTGGCGTCCGGGCCTTCGCGAAGGTCGCTGTAGGGGTGCATGATGACGGGGCCGTGGCAGACGGTGCAAGCCCCATGTCCGTCAGTAGGCACGGCATCATTCAGGGCTGCCTAGTCGTGTAGGATTTCCAGTAACAGTATAAGGAATGTGAGCGGAGACAACATGGTGAACTGCGACAAAACCGCGAGCTTCTGGACCTGCTTCTTCTGAGCCAATGAACCTTCTGCCGGAACAGGCATCCAATGACGTTTTGACAACCGTCTTCCGTGAGAGACAGAGAGGTCTTCACCGAGCAACAGCACAGGTCATGGTTCTCGGCGTCACCAGCGAGCCAATCATGACTGGATGTTAGCTCCACACGAAAGACCCCGATCTTGCTGAACATCCCACGGCCTCGGTAAAACCCAAGTCGCACAAACCAAATATGAAGTCTGAAACACGCCGAAGCATGAACCGTACCCAGCAATACAGAAGCCCAGAGGGCCCAGAGGGCCTGGATCCGGACGGCAGAAGGAACCCCGGAGAGCTTCAAGCGCCGTCAACACCCACTAAAGCTTCCTTCAGGTTTAAACAGACTTCGAAAATGGTAAATTTGGCAAGGCGTTTGCGGCTTCAGGTTCCGTGTTACGGGTTCGCGACGGAGCTCCTCCGTCGTGAATTCCCCGTCCTCACGCGTTGAGGACATCTTCCCTCCAGGCCTTATGATAGCAAGTATAACTTACACGTCTACCGATCTGCGGTGGAGGGGTAAACCTAGTAAACCCTGAACCTCAACCCTAAGCCCGAAATGCTCGCAGCCGGCAGGGCCTCGTGATAAAGGCTCAAACGCCAAGGTTCATGGCGCCCACAGACACCTGGATGTTTGCCTGGCACCGAAAGCTCGACATGGAACAGCCACACAGCATCCAACTACCATTCTCCCCCAGTCATGGATCCTGCACATCACAGCCACAGTGGGACTCTAAGCTCCCTTCCCAAAAGTGGTCACGCTAAATTGCGGGACCCCTAACCTCGAAACTTCCAAAAGCTAAACCAAAGTGGCTGCAAACATGATCACAGCGGGTTGTGGAACATAATTTGCGGGATTGATCTATCGGGTAGAGGGAACCACCATGAACAACAGCCTGTGAATATGATTCTTCTTGCTGTTAGTTTTTGGCGCAGCATTCCGAAGCAGGACCGAGGCTTGCCCATCCTGGACACTGCAGCAAGCAGTTGCAGCACTCAACACAGAAACCCTACACTTCAGAACGTGGCCAGCAGCCTTCTCTCTTCGGTACGTCAGCACTTTCGACCCCAGATGCTGAAATCCTGAAGCCAGAACCCCTAACCCCCAACTCCGCTGAAACCTCAACCCCAGGCCCCAAACCCTACAATCCTGGGCAGTCAAGGTTATGAGGTATCGTAGCGTACGCAGTATGCTTCCCTTTCGCATGAAAAAAGGGGAAGACACCTCAGGGGCCAAAAGCTACTTGGAGGACGGCGGCCCCTTGCCTTCTTGGCCGGAGCTTTGCCTTCGGAGCTCTCTCGGAAGGGATGAGGGAGGAGGCTTAGTTTTGGGGATTCCTCGTGAAGAGATCCCTAATGAAACAGATGGGGCCTAGACAAGGGGTCCCGAGGTTCGGGGCTTTTCGTCTCTGGTGTATATTTAGACTGGCACAGGTATCAAGTTTTCCGGGAGGGATTGCACGTTCGGGGTGTGGGATTCTCAGGCTACGGGGTTCAACTTTAGGATCCGGCTTTCTCGAGCCACGGAGCAGGAGCTTCGGGTTTGGGGGTTAGGACTAGGATCCCTCGGCATCTGCAGAAAAGTCAAAGATTTCATCGGCCACCACGTGCCGCCGAAGGGAAGGGCACTTCCTTCTCTTTGGGGTTTGCGATTTTCCCCGGATCATCGGCCCTCATGGCCCCCTAAAAAAATTCAATTGCTCGTAAAGCTGAATCGCTGAATGCTCCTAAGCTCCGGTCCTCGAAGGCTTCATCTCTTGACCTCTGAACCCTGGAGACGAAAGCCTAAAAGTCGAAAGCGCTGGCCTTTCTTCGAAGTCTCGGAGCGCACCTTTCGCCCGCGCTGCCTCGGCTGCGACTGCAGAATGCTATGAGAGGATCTGCTCGACAGAATCTATTTGCCATTATTCTCCGATTTCCGCGGGCGCCTAGTCAACCCCAAAATCTCTACTTGCTGCCAAGCCGGCACAGACTGGATCTTCGTGGCGGCCTCAGCACCTCAGCCATTCACCACCACAGGCCACGTTCTGAGGAAAGATGATGACATTGACACATTTGGGCTCTCAACTTTTCGTGTAACCAAACAGGCTCGGGCCATCACCCAAATCCGCCAGACCTAAACCCGGCAACTTCAGCCGGCGAAGTTGATTTTGCTACAAATTGGCCAAATGCAAGCCATCTCGGCCTCCAAGCTGCTCTAAAGGCGTTTTGGGGTGACAAGAATGGGGCTTCGGTTCACGGTGCAGGAGCTCAGGAGTAGGGCTCGGGGCCAGCGTTCGAGACTTAGGTTTAGGATCTGGCCTTTATGCTCTAGGACTCTAGGACGTGCAGCTACAAAGGTCCGCTGAAAGCTAGAATCCTGTTCAGGCGGTGAGCTGGCCCAAACAGAGTCCTTGATTGCAGAGTACGGCACCGACCTTAATGAAAGCGCTGAAGACTACGGTGCTAAAGCAGGTTCAAGACTAAGAGGACTCTGAACTTGAAAAAATCAGCCCAAGGAGGGTCGATCTGTACACCTCTGGGCTTCTGAGGAGCGGCTCTGGCCCCACTCTGGAAACCACAAGCAGCCATACGTAATATCTCCAAAGCTCAGAGCTCAAATGGGACCATCAGCCGGTGAGGGGCACTTCAATTGCCCTTGCCAAGGGCGACCCTCTGGTGTGAGACACATCACATTAACTCGTAACCAAGTTCCGAAACCCTTGGCACTGCATCACCATTCCACTGGCGTGAGGAGCCGGACGCTAACAGGCATGTTCAAACCCTCAGCCCGGACGGCTCACAACGGGTGCTCTAGTCTTCACCAGAAGCTGGGATCTTGCGCTGCACCTGCTTGGATTCGATCTAGGCCCTTCAAACATGCACGATCATACAGACGTGGTTCTTACTCGGTGGAGTCTCGTGAGGTCTGACCATTGCCTTCTGAGCAGGTCGCGCGGGTCTTTCTACGACTTTCAGTCGTCTGTGAGTCTGATCAAAAGTTACAAGCACCCCCTCGAGTCGAAAGGAGCCCTCTTGGAATCATTTGCAAGCCTTAGTGTCCGATACTGACATTTAATTTATTATTACCCGCAAGTCGGTGTATGTCCCTGGCTGTAAGGTTAGGGCATGCTCAAGCCACATCTTGCACAGAAACCCGACTGCTTTCATTGGCATCACATTTGCAGCCTTCCAAAAATCTCCGAGGTCCCTAAGGAGCCCGAGCTTTCACCTTCGAGTTCCAAGTTGAAAGTCTCAAGTTCGACAGCGAAAATGCAAGGACATGGAAATGCTCGTTTGGGGCACTGTCTCGGCTTTGAGTGGTGAGGGAATGCTGTTGGCGCTTTGTATGAGCTGAACGATAGAAGTCTGCGCCGGGCCTGCCACCTTGGACGACCGAACAGCTGGAACTGCAGGAAGGCCAGCAAGGCCAGAGACAGCCTTAGCACTTGGCTTGGTTGAACGTGGGTCATACAACCTATGCAAATCTCATGCCCAATGACAGCACTGCTCACGAAACCCCGGGTGCGGAGTCTAGAAAGATGTGTGCAATGTCACTGTTGCTTTCCAAAACTTTAGATGCGCCCCGAGGAGCAGGTAGCCAAAAGGAAAGGCTGGATGCATCGTCAGACCAAAAGCTTCCACGGCCCCTGCTGCCAAGGTGTCGAAGTAAATCAGGATGCTGTAAGTAAGAACTCCCACGCCGAACGCTGCTATGCTCGATAGCACTGCAGGACCAGCAGCAAGCCAGTTCATGACTCGGAGCAAGATAGGGTGAGCCATGGGCAAAAAGACTACACCGAGGCTGCAGTACTGGAGCATCGTGATGATCAAATACTGCTCGACAGATTCGAAACCGAGCTTGTCGAAGGTAGGACTCCCAGCCCAGGACAAGCCAATGAATCCCAGGGTATGTGGCAGGCAGGTCAGTGCACAGATCGCCCAGGGCAGGTCCAGCTCGCTTCCGAAGTCCTGGACGATGGCTTTGCGAAGTTCCATACGTATGTATTCCTCGGTCCAACGGCCTACCGCCGTCACACTTCACATTCCACATCTACCTGCTTTAACATGACGATTTGTGGTTGCTGTTGAATCAGGTGTGACTATCACTGGCTATCAGATATCGCTACTCAGCCGGAATTCACTCTGCACATTCTTCAATACACCACCCTTTGGGTCCTTCTTTCGTCCACACTGCTGTCCTAAGCCCCCTCTCAAGCACTCTCGAATTTCGAGCGCCGTCGGCCAAGGCTCGTTGAAGGACTTGAGGCAGGCTTCCAGGTCCGGGTAGCCGGTGGCAGCACGCGCCGCCAAGCGGTTGGCATGGGAAAGGACCTGACGCGGCAGAAGACCGCGAGGAAGTTAGCGGATGATTTAGGGGCCGGGGCTTCGGCGGGTTCTGCCTTTCGTGGGGCAGTCCATGCACACCAGCAAAGGCTAAAGACAAGGATCTGGGTCGTTGCTGTGGAGCAGTGCCACCTCATCGTCCCAGCTCTCGCATGTGCTTTCAGTATCGAGTGCTACAGTACGGATACCGTAGGCTCCTCAAGTCCATCGAAGAGCTCAGCGACCTGCATCTGAATGGTGCCGCGGTCACTCTCAAGGGCACACTTCGCATCCCGGATGTCGAACGATCGCATGTTCTCCAGCATCAGCTTGTGCCCCTCTATTTTCCGCGGGAAAGAAACAACACTCATTATCACAGATGGAACATAGAAGACGAGGTAGCTCTGGCAGTCCCGCAAGTACGACAAACAACGCTGCACTCCCCATTGAAAGGTATCTCCGTGGACGGCGCGGTAGGTCGCTGTGTCGTTTATGCCAGAGTCCGGGGCACAGGCAACGGCAATGGCCAGTAGCCGTGCGCCAATATAGGCAAACAGCATTTGGCTTAGCAGCCAGGGCGGCAGCCACAGAGGCACGAAACGTAACCCCTTGAGACCACGGCACTTCACAAAGATCGACAACTCCAGCATGCACCACAGACCTTTGGCCAAGTTTTCTCTTTTTTCAGGGCTGTCAACCACAAAGATGGAATTTCTAGCTCGGGGAGGCTCGGAATGCAGGAGCATCGGGGCAAGATCTCCTGACCCTGTAGGCCAGCCTAACGGTTTCTCTACTTCCACCACCACGATAAAGCTGCGTTGTCTTATTTTCGGCTTGAAAAGGCGCCAAGGCACGATCGAAGTAAGTCTGATCCCACTGCACCAACAGCTGCGAAGAGCAGGCCACGAATGTAGGCAGGCCCTCTATGCCTTTGGACTTGTGCAAGGGGTCCGTCTGATGAACGCAGAGCCTGCAAAGGCAAAAGCACTTAAGAATCACGACCGTGAAGATGTGCCTAGTCAACCACAGGGAAGCAGAGCAGTGCTGGATATCAGTCGCGGAAGAAGAAACAGAAGCGACATGGCAGCAGTAGTGCAATCTGCAGGTCAGCAATTAGATGTACGTGTGACATGGCAACCGGTAACTGCATACCCGTGATGTTGCTGTTGCTGCTGCTCGTAGCCTGGTCCGTAGCCTAGGTCCGCACCATTACTACAACCGTCGTCGCCATCGTGCTGCTGATGCTCATTTGTGGGCACAAGACTTTATTTTACTCGATGCATTCGCCGAGGCCTGTCCACCCACAGGTTGGGGCACCAAAGTCCACACGTGAGTCGGTGCCCGAAAAAGAAAGCGAAAAGGAAGGCGAGCATGGGAATATCCATCAGGGCGAAATACATCACCTGAGTTTTGGGAGTCCACGAGCGGACAGGATCAGTCTGACGCAAAAACAGATTGCAACGTAGTGCCTCCAAAACAGTGCCTGCCTTAGACGGACAAAGCCCGTTGTCCGGCTCAGGGCCCGTTTTGCGTGCAGGGTCCCGTCCAGCCCTTTCTTTGTAAGCCAAGTGGCAGTAAGGGAGGGATCTGGCAGTAATGCCACAACAGTCTCCGAAAGGATGACGGCCGCAACCGTCGCTTTGATAGCTGTGCCTAGATTCCTCGGCTGCTTGAGGTTGAGGGTTGCATTTGCTTTCGGGCTTCAGGGTTTGGGCTGGGGTGCTTGTGAAAGTTCAGAATTTTTCACTCGAACTCTCTCTCCTAATCCTGAACCCCGAAGCCCAAAACTACTTTCAAAAGTCGAACATTTCTCCATGGCTCAGAAAGAAGCACATTGCCAACAGCTTCGCCCAGCGATCAGCTGCCCAGGAGTGGCTGACGAACACGTCGACACTTGAAACTCTCCTCGTGCTGATTGGCAATGTGGCGTGCTGTGCTAGGAAACTCAAGGTTCAGAATCATGAAGTGCTACCAGCCACGGCAGATTGGAGCGGTAGTGCCTACGCCTGATCGTCATGAGTAGCATCATCGTAATCATAGTCGCCAGCATCATCATCATCAACAACAACAACAACAACAACAGATTGCCAGCACCACCATCATCAGCAGTAGCATCATCGTCATCATCACCACCATCACCAGGGCCATCATCGCCATCAATCTCATCCCTTTCATCTTCAAGTTCCATCCTCACAATTACTATCTTCAGCAACAGCAGCATCAGCATCATCGCCAGATTTGGGATCCTCGTCACTACGACAAATGGGAATCAGCATCACCACCACTGCCGTGAAGGCATTGTCGAAACACAGCAAAGATCGCAGGTTTGAAAGAATGCTGGAGCTTAGGTGTCAGATTGAAGAAAATGGCGGTTGGCTTGCAAGCTTTGGCCCCAAACGAATGCTGCACCTCCAAGCCTGCAACCTGTCAAGGCCTGCAGTTCTCATGCAGAAACTCGGAGACCACTGGAGGCCCCTTTTTAAGTTTGAGAAATCGAGCCCTTTCGCTTCTTATTTTGGTGGCGTTTGATTCTTATTCACAAAGCCTTGTTCAGCACTTTTTCAGCCCAAGACTTGCATAGGGCCTCCAGAGCACTTCAAAGCTGCCTTTAGGGCTCCCAGAACCCTCCAACATAAGAAAGTGAGCCTTCATTTCTCTGAATTTGCGATCTCGAGCCCCTCAAGTTTTGTTGAGGTGTTGTTTTTATGGACAAAGCTTTATTAAGCCGTTACTATGCCTTTGGTCAGGTCTTACCAAGCCTGAACAAAAGAGCCTCCAGAGCCCCTCAAAGCTGATAGAAGGGCCACAAAAGATCCTCTTTTTGGGGGGGTGGGGAAGCGCACGGTCAGTTGGCAAAGGCCAGGGCTCGGTTGCCCCGGGTGTCTTTCCCTGCGTCTCCCTTTGGAATATCAAATCCAGCCCCCGAGTTTCTTGATCAGGTCTTTTTTGAGAGAAGAAAACAAGCGAACAAAAACATCGAGTGAATTTGCTCTTGTGTCGCACGGCTACCCCAGGGGCTAAATCTTCTTAAACCCATGATTTATTAAGCACTGCTGTCGCTGCAGCAAGTGGGGCTCAACTTTTTGTTTTGGGGGGTTCTGGTCAGGGCTGAATACAGGCTTTTCGATCAAGCGATGGAGCATGACTCAGTAGAGGTTCTAAGGATGACGCGCCGGAGTGGTCAAGCTCGTAACTCAAATTAGGAACATAGCGGGCTCGTTTGCCTCAGTCGCCGTTTCGGGATTCTGTGGGGTTTTGGTGCTGCTCGATTGAGGGTTTCAGATTATCCAAGGAGGCGTGCATGCGACTAAAGGGAGTTGCAGCTGAAGGCTGATCTGCCAAGCATCGCAGTTTGGTAGAAGAGCTCCTGGTCAACCGTCGTCTGCTCCTGGCAACATCATGGGATGCATTGCCCCGACATGTGATGTGCCATAGAGCAATGCACCTGTAGAATAATAAAATTCAATACCCATCCCGGTGACGAGATCCATAAACGTGCCACGCAAAGACTGCATCGACGAAATCTACACTGCTATACCTAGGCATGATCATTGGACAAATGCCTGAAGCGATCACTGCCCGGGACAGGAAACCGCTGAATTTAGAAGACATGCGAGAGAGAGAGAGAGAGAGATGCTTATTAGCCCTGACCGAAAATTTGCTTCCACAGTCATGCCTGGTTCTAGCAGTGATAAATGGGGGATGTGGGGCTGCACACGGTTCGGACGGTCTGTCCCTGCGTGTAGAAACGCCATGCAGCGGTTTGGTGTCATTGCTTGGTTTCTCTGAGCTCTGACACCCCCTGAATACTGATGAATACTGCAAATGGGGAGGTTCCTGAAGGCCTACAGGATCTCAGAGCCTCAGGCCTCGGCTGCGGCGAAGGTTCTGCCCCAACTGGACAGCACCAATTTCGCCGAGGCCGCCCGGAACAAGCCTCTTTGAGGAGCCGAGCAGCCGAGCATAAAGTCAGCAGTTTTTCGGAGAGGCTCCTAATATAGGGACCTGAACAACTAGAATCGGGCTAGGGCGTCCGTCACGGTCTAGCCATAATAAGGAACCCTAGGACTCATTCGATAATATCCGGGCCGAGATCCAAAACCCTGCACCCACGCCAGAGTCAAGTCATGCAGGGAGAGAGCTTTGGCTTCAGCACAAGCAGCCACGGGGAGGCTTGAGGATGTCTCGGGAAGTCGCCGACACAAGAAAAGCTCTGCTGGAAATTGAAATGGCTAGTAAACCTGTGCCTCGCGTTCTTTTTCCCACTGTGTGTGAAGAAAAATGATCCTCCGACTATAGCATAGCACCCTCCAGAAGCCAATAAGACAAGCAAAGAAGAGTTTCACGCCCTTTTCCTGAAGGCTGAAGCCTGATACGATCCTCGAGTCTGTGGAGTAGCAGACTTAGGAATGTTGCTCATGCTGCAATACTCACTCAACATCACGTCGCGTGATGCAGCTTTTTTACGCAGGGGACATGCTAGGTGTCTGTTGTTGGTGAGCCGAAACGAACATACGCACTTTGTGCGAAGTGATGCTTCAAAAGAAACTTTCAACTAGCCACTGACCTTGCAAGCTGGCTGGTAACTGCAAGGACGGCTGGAGCCCTCCTGCGACACAAGCACCCTTGGCAGTGGCAGCCTGCAAGCTGCATGAGACACGTGGCCTGCTGCAGGCAGCACTCCGCGAGGCACAAAGCTTCAAGGCAGGTCGCTGGCTGCAGCATGTTGCACACAACTTCCATCCCACCCAGCCCAACTGGCGGTGCATGGGGAGGTGGCGGGACTAAAGGCGCAAAACCGGACGTGTGCGCAGCCTTTGAGCAACATAGTGTATCAGGGCGCCTGCCAAGGCGCCGCCCGAAGACAGGACCAGTTGGTGCAGCACGCCTAGTGTGGGGTACGCTGGGCACTGGCCATCCGCGAGGAACGGTGAGGCAGGCTCCACGACAACGGCCAGTTGCAGGATGAGCTCTTCGAACACCTGGTCAAGGACCAGCACCACTAGACTGAGGAGCCTTCGCACGACGAGGCGCAAAATCCCGCCGATGAGCTTAGCCGCGAAGCGAAGAGCAAATGGCCGGCAAAGCAGAACTAGAAAGGATATCACCAGGCACCAGCGCAAGGCCTGCCGCAGCGACTTCAACCATAGCAACACCTTGTAGCACCGCATACGCCAGCCAAGCGTTGGACGACGCGCTACCCTTGCGACTGCAGGCACCTCTCCTTCGGAGTTTGAGGAAGCCCTGTCTCCAGCCAGAGTTTCTGTAGCCATGCGTGCAAACTGTCGAAAACGGTCATCGTGCTTGTAGGACCTGACCACCTTGGCAAGGCGCGCCTCAGGCACATCCAGGTATCGAGCCCCTTTCAGCGGACCATCCTTAACAATGGCCTGCCGAAATCGAGCTCTCCATGACTCCATAGGCGCAGCAGGCTGTGACTACGTCCTCGCCAGAAGTCGGCACGGGCAACGCAACTTTGAGCAAGTGCTGGGGCGGCAAGCCTATGGCGAGGGCTCGTGGGACACTGAGCGCTTCGAAGCCGTGCTGGAGCAAGTGCTTGAGCCTCGTAATGGCTGGCAATGGCATGCGTAGGAGCAGCTGCTGCGCAGTGGCGCCTTGAATGTAATGCTTCAGTGCAGCTTCGCTAGACCATCTGCCTAGAAACCTGATAGTAGAAATCGGGACCCCGCTTTGGAACTTGAAAGAAGCCCCTCCAGCGCGCAGACTGGCAGGCGACAAACGAACGTCCTGCAACTTCAGCTTTCGCAACAAGAAGGCGAAGCGCTCGCGAAACTCAACCGCAGTTGAAGGCCAAAGCCTCTCAGTGCCGCGTCGGCCGTGGGTCACGACGGCCAACCAGTTGCAGGCACTAGGGTGGGTCAGTGTGACAAACTGCTCGAAACCCATGTGTCGCCTGTTTTTCGGACGATGCAACCTGAGCGTGCAGTGGGGCATACCCAAGTTCCAACTGCTGACTGTGGCCACGTCACCTACACGGAGCTTGAACAGCTCCCCTGGCCGGAGCATTGTGAAAAAAGCTACTTCAAGCAAAGCTGCATGACAAATCCATAAATGCGCGGAGTGGCCCGTGACTTGACAAGCAAGAGATCTGGCCAGTACGCACATGGCCAACAGCACTGGCAGCGGCAGCGGAGTGCGCATCTGAACTGGCACACTTTCCTCCCATGTGTTGAGGTAAGCCCCAGTCTCTGGAAGTTTATGCTTCAGCCGCGGCCAACTGATCTGGCAGAACAACACAGCATGCTTGCAGAGTATGAGAGCTCGCTTCGAAGAGGGCGCCGAAGTAACATGGCTGTCTATCACAAACTCACGCAGCACATTGTCGCTGACAGCTGCGCGGCGCGCAAGCTTCTCCAGTGATGGCAGACTTTGTTCTTGCAGATAGGCTCGCAAGCAAATGGCGCCTTGCAGGAGCCTGCGCCTGTATGCTTTTGAATACTTTGAGAACTTGAATGTCCATGCCACGCGGTCAGCGCTCATGTCGCCGGCCATTGAAACTAAAAAACTACATGCAGAATGGGTACGTGACAGCATAAAAAACTACACCGTGGTAGAGCAAGGGTGTTGTGACACCCAGGCGAGTAACAGGCCAACGTAGGCACTGCAAAAGTTCTTCGGGTAGCGGCGGTGTCCAGACAGTGCGCTACAAGGAAAGGCTTGGCTACTACGCTTTGAGCCTGTCACGCCTCGTGGACACGAACACCTGCACCCTTTGCTGAGGCAAGTCAGGGCCGGCAGCGTGCCTGCGAAACACAACGGCTTCCTAACGTGGCTATGGCCTATCATGCCAAAACAGCACCTCTGGACTTTGACAAATGCAGCATGCGTGCGAGCTAACACATCGACAATGTTGGGTTTGTCCCATGACGCACTGCATGCTGGGAGGTCGAAGGTGTAAAAGCTGTTGTTTTCGTGCAACCTTTCGCACAGCACTAACACCTGTCTCAGCAGCTCGTCGCACAGAGGCACCGGCAGTCGGAAGTGCCACAGCTGCCTTGGCCTTTTGGCATCCGCAAGCAGCCGCGAAAAAACTGTTCCAGCGAAAGCGGATCCTGTTTCATGCAGTGGCGAGCTGGTGGTTCGTACTCTTAAGCTCTTAAACTCACGACACAAATCATCCACTAACCCGAAAACTTCCCTATAAGCGAAGCCCTTTCCTAAGTTTGTTCTTGACCCGCCTGCAATGCGAATCGCAGGATCTGCAGCCCAGCACCCGGAATGACTACAAATGTTTTGCATCGCCTGCCACTCAGGACCTAGCGCGGCCAGCTCGTTTTCTTCAGGGGACAAAGGCTTAGGGATGGGCTTGTTACGTGAAGGGTAATCGGCGGGGTTGCTGCCAGTGTGAATCCAAAGGTTGACAAGGAGTTTTGACCCAGCAAGCGACCATACCAAACAAGATCTCAGGATCTGGTTTAAAGCTTTGCTGCTAGAACGACCCTTTGCGAAGGCACCTAGAGCGACCCGCGAATCACACAAGTTGACCATGCGCAAGCCCTGAGCCGTGCGAGATGTGGCCTCGACAAGCTCACGCCTGATCATGCCCAACTCCAACAAATTGATGTGTCGTTTACGTCGAAATCGCACCTTCTCAGAAACAAACCAATGCTGGAGTTTGGCAAAGCGCTCTAGGAGCAAGTCTGGTCTGCACATTGCTGACGGAGGAGCCAATTCACCTGATGACCAATTTAACCGAGTATACTCACCGTTATGCTCGGCACATAAATACATCAGGTGGGATACCCAAAACGGCACCACTGCAGAACACCTTCCTCCTCCATCTGCGCTGGCATCGGTTGCGGCAAGCCTTTGGCTGAGCGGCCAACGCGCACACGCATGTGCGAGAGGCAGGACTGCCACTGCAACGAGGAGTTCCTCAGCGGCTTCCCTTGAGATCCTAGCCATACTGTGCTCGGGGAGACTATCTATGAACCCATATATGCCACCGAATACGGCCATGCACGCTCGCCTATGCATGAAAGGATGTACGAACAACCCAACGACTTGTTGCAAGCATTTCTTAGTGGCAATTCCGAGGGTCAACAGTTGCAACACCAGCTGCGCCAGAACATGTAACTTCTCGGGCGGGGTCCCTACATAACCCGATTGGCTATCAACCCTGGTACCCCAAGCAGTGAAGGTGGTGAGTTCAGTGAACCGCTTCTTTAAGCTCACGGGCAGGGCCAACTCCTCGTAGGCACGACGGGATTTACGGACAATTTCCCTGTCTTTCGCCCACACCGGCTCTCTGCGACATTTGCCTGTTTTCTTCTTTGGGAACATCTGCATTGTGATGTGGTCATCAATGTAGAGACCCTCTAGAGTTGGCGAAGCAGGAAGCCGAGCGTCGAACTCCAGCACGTGCTCTTGTTCCATGACGCCGAAATCACGCAAGATCTCAAGATGCGTTTGTTGAGCGACATCAACCGCATTCAGGTCCCCCATGCACAGGACTGTGAAAGCAAGGACATAACTTCCATTTGGGTCACACCCCAGCTCTTTAAACCAATGCCCTGGCACAGGCTCCCCGACCACGTTTCTGGGGAGCCATTCTGGCACATGACGCAAAAGGTAAAAGAAATTTTGCAAATCGTCCCCACTAGCACGGATGGACATGTGATCATCTAAGATGACCTGTGTTAGCAAAGCACCATGCGGCAGCTTGGCCCAAACTAGTCTCCGTTCGAGGCGATTGAACGGACGTCTGTCGTTGATCACACGGTCCGTGTTAGGCTTGTGGGATACCGCAAAAAGCCCTCCTGCAATGAGTTTTCCACGGCTGTCGTACAACCCCTCGCTTGCGGGAATGAGCTTGGCAACTCCAGCTGCAAGAAGCCTGTCATACACTTCCCTAACATGCGCCTTGGCTACTCTGTGGCAAGCTCTCACGCCCACAATCGGTTCGCCCACTGCAGGCACATGTTCGGCCATGCGCAAGAAGAGATCACGATGTTTTCCCTTCAAATGATCTTCAGGTGCGAGCACACCGCCTTTATCAGGCAAAGACATCCTATCAGGTTTGACAAACTTCGCATTTTTGCCCATGTCAGATAAACTCACGGTATTTAATTTTTCGTACCCACTGGTGCTAATTAAATCTATCAATTCGTGTAGTCTCTTGATGCCTCGACTCGGGGCTTCCAAAACCTCAAGGCGGCAAAACTCAAGGACTTGCTGGAAAACATTGCTAGCGTGCTGCACATGCAAGCGCGTCCACGTGGCGTGGGCGGCATGTGTGACGCAACGCTCCATGGCAGCGGAAGTGCACGGAGAACCTGCCTCAATGAAATTGAAGTAAGCCCAAAGCACGAGCATCCATTCTCTGGCCTGAGCAATGCCTCGCCTTTGCCCTGATCTTCTAGCCTTCCGATGGCCCATGAACGTGCGGAAGTGAAGCAAAGACGGAAAAAGGTTGCAGTCACCATCGGACGGTGACGTGACAGTCCCCTGCTCGGCCAAACACCGAGAGCGAAAGATTCTGAAAAAACGTGCAAAGGAGCCCCTCTGGAGTAGCACTGTTTCTAGCAGACGCTGCCCCAGGGACTGCGAATTAAGGCTGCCAGTGTCCGGGCTCACTTCTGGCCTTGACCGCGTCCGCGACCCTTGGGTGGCTTTGCCTCCTCGTCGTGCTCGTCGTTGTTGTCGCCTGGAGTGTCCCTCAGGCCTCTGAAGTCCCGAGTTCGCTTCTCCAGCTCCTGCACACTCTTCACGTAGGCAGCAATGGTCTCTAGGCCCTCCTCTTCCCCGCCGAAGCGCCTGCGCGCCAACGGATCTGGGAGGTTGGTGAGAAGCCATGCAACGTCCCACGATCCTTGGTTGATCGCGGCCTGATGCACCGCCCTCAGGCATTGCACCACCTGCAGTCCTGCACGTTCGTACTTGCCCTTCAAGATCAGGTCGAGAATCGCTCCGAGCATGTAGTATGTCCTCTGCAGGCCCTTTTGCTTTCCCCAATTGATCTTGCGGCCATGGTCGGTTAGCCGATAAGGCTGGTCTGCATCGACCCCCAAATCTTCCTCGACGTTCTTGATGTAGCGCTTGATGTGCCTGAGGGGGTGAGCCTTCATTGACTTCCCAAGTCGGCGGTAGTTGCCGATGGCGCGGGCTGCTCCTTTTAGACTGGGGTCCCTGCGTCTTCTGTTGCCCTCGCTGCTGCTTGAGCTTGCGGTCGAAGACGAAGAGCTGAGAGACCGGTTTGACCCCTTCTTGCCTTTGTGCCTTTCCTTTGCGGTCAGCTTCAGAAGCTGCAGCGTTGCAAGCGCTTGCAGGGGGTCTTTGCCCTGTCCCATTGCAGCGGCAGCAGCCTGGGACCAAGCTTCTTCCTGCTGACGCTTGTCTTTTCCACCAGACCTTTTGCGGCGGAGCATCTTGAACCTGTGGGGCTGCTTCAGCGGGTTCACGGTCATGGGCTCGCTCCTGTCTGGCTCGGACTCGTCTCCAGTACCACGCGACTGCCATGCTTTTTTCATGTCCCGCACTAACTCTCCCAGGTTGCTGCTGGCGTCCGAGTCCTCCCCGTCCTCTGACGACGAGCCGTCCACTGACTCCTCTTGCTGCTTCGCGAGTGGTGGAACGTCCTCTGACGCCGTTGCAAACACTAAGTCCGCGTTCTTGTCCAGGTGCTCTATCGCGGCCTCCAGCAGTAGCTTTGAATCGACATCTATCTCGAGGGATGACTTGTTGCATCTTCGAAGGAACTGGTCAGCGCCCACCTCAACGAAGATAAACCGTCGACCCAGCAGTAAAGCAGCCGCCGCAGACGATCTACTAGCTTCTTGCGCCACTGGCACGATGATCCGCCAATGACCTTTATCAGCTTTTTGTACGACTAAGCCCTGCCGCCAGCAGGGAGTTCCGAACTTCGAGTCCAGTCGCACAAAGCCTGATTGGCCGATCTTGATGCCCATGCTACCGGACGGTCTGCCGACTATGACCTGGTCATGCTAGCCTCGACACTAACAGCTGCGGTGAGTGTTTCGACTGGCAACATGCCTGCGATGCGCGCGCGCCCCCCGGATTTTGCAGGACTTATTGTATTACAGCCGAACCTGCCAAGCGAGAAAAGCCAAGAACTCGAGGGGTCGTCAACGTTCGAGACACTTAGCACGTCGGTCTCTCAATGCCCAAGAGCCAGGACACCACACATTGCAGAATCGAGACGCCCTATGAGCCTAAAATTGAGTCCTGAAACCCAGAGCTCCCTGTTCAACGCCTTCCTGGCAGAGCTGGTCTGACCGGCTGCGCAAGCGATGCATGGCGGCGACGGATCGGGGGAGTCAAACACTCCGGGAGCCTCCGATTTGGGGTCTTTGAGTCGCGTGCTTTGGGGTCTTTGGGCAAGCGCCTGGTGGGGTTCAGGAGGTCTTTAAGTTGTACGGCTTTCGGTTTAGCATGTCTTTAAACCTCATGCATGAAGAGCTTTGGGTGTCGGGATTCTTTAGGCTTTGTAAACTTTAGGGCCGGACTTTCCCCACTTCTGCAGGACCTGGTGTGCGCGGTGTGGGTTTAGGCGACGGGGATTGCCGGGCGTACAGGATTCTCAGGTGCGGGGCTTGTGAACCAACTTCATGGATCCTATTGTGCATGGCAGCATGCTACTCACGATGTTCTGTTGTGACTGCGCCAGGTGCAGGTCCAAGCTGCTGGTTCAAAATCAAATTCGGGCAGGGTCGGGCAGGGTGCAGAGAAGTAGATCAACTCGAATAGATTCTGTATAGCTACACAGAGCAATCATAGCAATTCTGTCACGGTCTGCACCCTGCACCTAACTGCCTGACCCCGGAGCAAGCGCGGGGCTTTTCCCCCTGAGCCCGTCCTGCGGTGAGAGAAGCATCCCCTGTCAAGACCGACGCATCATGATCAGCAGCAGTAGCATCACGAACAAGACTGCTAGTTTACGCTACTTCGAGGCGTAGCTGACACAGAACCCTGATGAACTAACCAAAACAGCGACAACAGCAGCAGCGGCTACCACGAAAACGGCAACGACTTGAACAACAATTGCATCGACGACCGCGACGATGCACGCAAAACCCATTCCTGAAGTAGCAATAACAACATTAGTCAGTTTGTGAGAAGATGTAAGAAGCCTTTAAGCACTGCGTGCGTGCCGTGGCAAGTGTGGCAACCAGGGCGAAGACCTGTCCTAGCTGAGCCATGCGAAGCACCAGAGCCACAATCACTGCAAGAAATAAGCTTCGGCTTCAGAGTTGGTTGTTTTGAGCTATTGGGATTGGGCTGTCATTGAGGACTGAAGAGAAAGAAAACGGCCTTGGTGCATAGTAGTCTTCGGTTTGTAGGGAGTTGAAGTATGCCCATGCAAACACCAAACAACATTGAACCCCAAAGCTCATTGTCAGACGAGACACGATCCTGATCCGCTGCTTTCGGCCCTCCGACCATGGAGTGCAACAGAGTTGCGTGAGTTAGGGTATGCGGATTTGGAGGAGAGAAGTACTCTCAGCTTTGGGGTTTGGGATCACGAAGTCTGGTGATGAGGTGCTCGGGTGTTGAAATTGCACGGCTTCCGCGGAGATCTGTTGGATGAGGATGCTGGGACTCTGCTACAAGGTTTTTCCTTGCGGATCCTGGCGCCGCGATGTTGGAAATCCGAATCGGTTGCCCGCCTCCTGCTTCTTTGACAGCTCCAGGTGTCGATTCAAGCACCGGGTCCTCCAGAAGGAGCAACGATGAGAACTCTGTGCCACTTGGGAGCTCCCAAAAAATCAGCGGCTTCTCTGAGGTCTCGGGACATGGACTTTCAGGGGCTCGGGCCTTCGCTGCCGCTTCCGCTGCCTCCTGGCGGCGGCAAGCACACGACACGAGAAATGAAAGAAGTCTAAGCAGGGATCTGTCTCAAGCATCTCGAGGGCAACTGCAGGATTGAAACTGATGCATGACAGCAGGATGCCTCATGCTTTTTCACCAACCAAAGCAGATGCCCCCTTCTAGTATAGAGAAGCCACAGCTTGATCCCGAGTGCAAGAACGCAACCTGGTGTCGTCAACAATCAATGCGGCTCAAACCAAGGCGACTCTTCGGTAACGGAATTTCTGCTAGAACTGCCTACAGAGACTTCACGATCACCCGGAGCGCCTGCTTCGCTTGTCTCGCTTGCTGCACCTACCAAAAGCGAGTCACAGGCTTCTGTTGCAAGCAGGGCAGGATGCCGGTAAACCCTAAGGCCAAAAAGCAACATCATAGTTTCCCTGCCATCGCTCTGCCATGACTGCTGCAACACGTAATCTGTGTCGAAAGCCCAGCCTACCAGAACAAAGGCCCCTAAATACACACTATAGGATCTGCTAAACCGCTGATCCGACCTTGGCTTCTAGCTCCTCTGTTCGCAGCTCCTCCTGCGCTCGAGTCGGCCGTGCTGTGGAGCCGCCCCAAAACGAATCGAGGCTGTAGGGCTTTTAGGCTCCGGGAGGATGTTTTGGGCCTAGGGGCCTGGGGTCTGGGTCTCGAGATGTGCAGATTCCGGGAACCCAGAGACGCCCACTGCTGCCCAGAGAGACGCCCCTTCCTCGAAAACGGAATTCGGAGCGAAGAGTCGAGGCTCCAAAGTCCGGAACCCAAAGTCGCGCTCGACAGAAAACACCTGTCAAACCCGCCGTCGCCAACTGGGGATTTCCGAAGATAGGGGACCCTAGTATAGTATCCTTAATAATAGGATCCCTATTATAAGGACCCCAAAATAAGGTGCCTATAATTTTCAGAAATTCCCAACTCTTGTCGCGGCTCTGATCCGTTGCGCTACGGCTCCTCCCTGCACTCGGCGAGCAACTCCTCCGCTCGCCTTCAAGCGTCTGTGCACAACTATGCTGTGCGTTATTCGATTCTAGGGTTGCTTATGTAATATTAATATGGACTGTGATATGTTCTGTTATGTCGTTTAAAGTGGTGCTGTTATTGTGGAAAAAACGGGTGCCGCTGCAATTCCCGCGAATTTTGCGATGATAGAGCTCGTTTACGACTGGTACGAAGGTTGCGATCAGATTTAAAATTATCATGACCAACAGATTGCAACACCCACCCACCTGCCCAGAACGAAAAGTGCACCAACCCAAATAGCAAACAGCCAACAACGCAACACTTCCCGCTTCGCCAACGACTGGACCAAGTAGCCTGCAGACCTCACCAGCAGATCGTGATTGGTCATCAAGTCCAGATCCCTGAGCCTTCTAGACCCTGAACCACTCTGCCTCGTCCCAAGTGGAAGAGAAGACCGTAACGAGCAGCTGAACCTTAAACATCTTCTTGTACCTACGACTTCTAAGAAGCGACACAGCCTCGAAATGGCTCTTCTTGCTCTGAACCCCCAAATCCCAAACCTCAAACCCCAGAAGCCCTAAACCCAGTAAACCCCCCCGAACCCCCTAAACCCCCCCTGAACCCCCCGAAACCCCCCCTGAAGCCCCGAAGCCTCTAAGCCCTCTTTGAGCCCGGGCCCGGGGGCCTCTGCCTGCCTTTCAGCTCCTCCCGCTGAGCAGCGGCTCGCCGCGCAGCCTCCGCTGTGTTTCAAAGGAGGCTCAGAGTCGCCGGAGGCTCCGCGCTTTAGGATTTAAGGTTTAGGGTTTAGGGTTTAGGGTTTAGGGTTTAGGGCTTTAGGGAAGGGGCTTAGGTTCCCTTTTTAAAGTGCGCCCGCTCAACGCTACAAGGCTTAGGCTGATCCGGGTTTCGGGGGGAAAGTCTAGATTCTTGATGTAATGCTTGCAAACCTGGCTCGTGGTCAACCAAACTCTCTTGTGACACTTGTGAGTTGTGGAAACTGTAACTATAGGCCAACATGTGAATGCAACAGGACTTGCGAGTCGTCTTGAAAGCTCACATGCAGGCTCGCACCGCCCTCGTATATACTTGGAGGTGACAAGAGTTATTGGCACCAACATTAGCTATGCCTTTGACTTTGTAGCCAGGCACGCGTTTCAAATCAAATCTCAATGAGTCAAAAGCTTCATGCGGCGCTGTTGCAAACCGGTCCGAAGTTCAATCACCAAGAACACTGTCGACTCACAAAGGCGCTAACTTTACCAAAATCATTGCAGAGCCATGGCAAAGCGAAGGCGAGCGGACGCCTCCTCCATCTCCTCCGACTGCTGCTGCAGTCGACGCAGCTCAGCCTCCTCCTGCGCAGGCGGTCCGACGCTCACCATGTGCTCTCCCCCTGCCATCCCTTGCGCATGGTAAGAAAAGCCGTTCACTGTCCGCAACCTCAGAACGGGCGGAGGCAGCTGCTGCGGTGCGGCTCTCTTCCGCCAGGACCTGGATAGAGGAAGTGGGGCATGAGGCATGAGGTGTTGGCGCAAGAGTCGAGCTACACAGGCGAAAAGACACGAGGGCCTCGCCTTCTCTTTCATTTCCGCGCATGCTGCCTGTGAGGGGAACGGATACTCGGCTACTCGAAGCCCCCTATCCACTCTTCGCCACAACAAGATACCCTGCCCATGCCTGCCATGAACCCATCTCCCGACATCTCCCAGCCAAAACATTCAAACCGGAACATGCCGGAAGTATCGCAAAACTCTTGAAGAACTTCTCGCATCCTCTCCGCCATTTCTTGCCCTTTGTAACAATTTAGAGAAGGACCCCCGCTTCTGTGCTCCGCCGCCTCAGTCTCCGCGCGGCGCTGCGCGGCTGCTTGAAGTTCGGCCTGGCTCAGGGCTCGCGGCGTTTAAAGGACTCAATGTGGCAGGTTTGGCATGCGGCTTCAAGGAACGCTTGGACTTCTGAAATCCAGTCTCAACACCCCTTCCACTCCAAGATGTTCTCCACGTCTCACAAGGTGGCCTCTGCATGACATACACATTGCAATTCTCTACGTGCCAGTGCCCACACACCCAATCTGGCTTTCTTGCAATCAGGGATGCCAGGCAACGACCAGCTCCTGATGCCGCTTAGTGCAGAAAAGCGAAGGCGAGCGGACGCCTCCTCCATCTCCTCCGACTGCTGCTGCAGTCGACGCAGCTCAGCCTCCTCCTGCGCAGGCGGTCCGACGCTCACCATGTGCTCTCCCCCTGCCGTTCACCTTGCGCATGGTAAGAAAAGCCGTTCACTGTCCGCAACCTCAGAACGGGCGGAGGCAGCTGCTGCGGTGCGGCTCTCTTCCGCCAGGACCTGGGTAGAGGAAGTGGGGCATGAGGCATGAGGTGTTGGCGCAAGAGTCGAGCTACACAGGCGAAAAGACACGAGGGCCTCGCCTTCTCTTTCATTTCCGCGCATGCTGCCTGTGAGGGGAACGGATACTCGGCTACTCGAAGCCCCCTATCCACTCTTCGCCACAACAAGATACCCTGCCCATGCCTGCCATGAACCCATCTCCCGACATCTCCCAGCCAAAACATTCAAACCGGAACATGCCGGAAGTATCGCAAACTCTTGAAGAACTTCTCGCATCCTCTCCGCCATTTCTTGCCCTTTGTAACAATTTAGAGAAGGACCCCCGCTTCTGTGCTCCGCCGCCTCAGTCTCCGCGCGGCGCTGCGCCGCTGCTTGAAGTTCGGCCTGCCACAGAAAGGAACATCGAAGAACGGGCACCCGCACCTCAAGCATACGAACTCATACCAACGGATACAAGGCTTGCGTGCCTTTTTCAATCGTTTCCCTCGGGCCTCTGCTTCCAGTCGCTGCTGCGCGGCTGCTTGAATGGCTGCCTGCACAGGTGGCGGAGCGGGCCAAGGTTTCTCAACTGGTCTTAGGGAGTCAGCTTTCTGGGGCTCTTAGGCTGCGAAACGCATTGGGCAGCGGCTTTGAGTCTTTGAGTTGCCCAGCTGCTGAAACCTTCACACACTGCCATGCTCGCCTTGGCTGCTTGAGCTTCTGCGTGCCTTGCACGGGTGCTCGTCACAAAGCGGGCTTGACGGCTTTGCAGCGATGCTCGGGCTCTAATCGTTCCGTGCGGGCCTAGATACACCCCGCCATCTGAAGCCTGCGCAGCTCCCTTTCTCAAAAAGGCGGGTCTATAACTCTGTATAAAGTTGATGTAGGAACGCAGCTCTTCACGCCTCGATCCTCTGTATGCTGGTGTGGGGTTCATAGAAAGGACCCCAAAGGCCCCCGCTCAAGGCAGAAACCTCCAGGAAGAGCTGACATCCTCAGAACCCTCAGATCCCAACCCGGCCCAAAGGTCCTTGCAACCACATGGAAACAAGGCTAAGCAAGCTACGAGCAGCTACCAAGCTCAAGCTTAGCCCCAAACCGGCAGCCCCCAAACCTCCAAACCCCAAACCGAACAGTCGGGCGAGGGACGCCGCAGCTGCTTCTTCCTTCGCCTCCGAAACTTCGACCAGGGGGGCGCGGTGACGACGCGGATCGAAAGGCTTTTGGGCTTTCCGGTTCCGGGGTTGGAGCTCAGGTTCCAGGAGTCGGGGGTTGTTGCTTGTCGGATTTGGGGGCTCAGTGCTTTGGGCTTGCAGTTTAGGGTGAAACTTAGATAAACTGTCCAGAAGTACCCGCGTCAATGACAGCCATCTTGAAGCATGCTTTCGACACGGCCACCGAGATTTGGCGCAATACCGCAGTGCCAACTAGAGCCGGTAGACGAGAACCTGTTCTCCATTGTGCAACTTACGTCGTTCGAATAGTGGCAGCACTATGCTGAGGGGGCATCCATGATGCAGAAGAAGTTTGACCAAAACCGAGTTGGGCTGCTTAAAGGCCTGAGACTGCAGTAATTCGGCAATGTGGTATACCTTTCAACGGAGCCAGCAACGAAGATTCAGCTTTCGATGGTCGTCGCGAAAACGCAGAGTATCCTACGAAGATAGCGGAGCCGTTACCCGGCATCCTAGCCAGCACGACGCTGAGCAAGAGAACCTCCATCAACGCAAATGCAAATCTCGGTACCAGATGCAGTCATCAAGCCCGGCTGCCTGCATGGTGACGACATCGGCAGCGTTCTTGTCTGCTGCGCCTTTTCGAACAGCTCTGCCGCGCTGAACGGCCTGAATCTTGGCGGCTGCTTCTTCCCGCTGTTGCTCCGTTGCGTCCTTGCTTGAAGCTAGTGTGGGCTCGGGCCTGGTATCCCGGCTATCCCCACTGGCCGGGATCCGGAAAGCTGCCTCCCTCTTGCCTCCTGCATCTTTTCGGGCAGCCCTGCCACGCTGAAGGGCCTGAATCTTGATAGCGGCTTTCTCTTTTTCGCTTGCGTCGCTCTCGACACCATTGTCGATCGGGCTGACAGCTGGCACGGCAGCCACCTTGGCATCGCGACTTGTCGGAATCCGGAAAGCACCCTTCTTCTCCGCTCTGTCTTTTCGAGCGGCTCTCCCACGTTGGATGGCCTGAATCTTCGTAGCTGCCTCCTCCCGCTTCTGCTTCTCTTCCGCCAGCTGTTTCCGAGCTGCATTGCCGCGTTGGATTGCCTGTACCTTCGTGGCTGCCTCTGCTTGCTCCTTCTTCTCGCTTGCCACCTGCTTTCTATCTACGTTTCCACGCCTGATCGCCTGAATCTTTGTAGCTGCCTCGTCGCGGTTCTGCTTCTCTTCGGCCAGCTGTTTCCGACTTGCATTGCCACGATAGATTGCTTGCACCTTGGTGGCCGCCTCTTCTTGCTCCTTCTTCTCTGTTGCCACCTGCTTTCTTTCCACGTTTCCACGCCTGATCGCCTGAATCTTTGTAGCTGCCTCGTCGCGCTTCTGCTTCTCTTCGGCCAGCTGTTTCCGAGTTGCATTGCCACGATAGATTGCCTGCACCTTGGTAGCCGCCTCTTCTTGCTCCTTCTTCTCTGTTGCCAACTGTTGTCTTTCCACGTTTCCACGCCTGATCGCCTGAATCTTTGTAGCTGCCTCGTCGCGCTCCTGCTTCTCTTCGGCCAGCTGTTTCCGAGTTACATTGCCACGATAGATTGCTTGCACCTTCGTGGCTGCTTCTGCCTGCTCCTTCTTCTCTGCTGCCACCT